AAAGAGAATTATCAACCAATTTCCCTTATGAACATAGATGTGAAAATATTAACATATTTGCAAACCATCCAGGCATGGTGGTGCACACTTTTAATCCCAGCACTTGGGAGGCAGCAGCTGGTGGATCTCTGAGGTCTCAGTCAGCTTGGTCTACAAAGTGATTTCTACGACAGCCAAGGCTACAAGAAAAAAAAACCTGTCTTGAAAAAAATAAAATAAAGACCTTGCAAACCAAATCCAAGAGCACATCAAAAAAAATCATCCACTCTGATCAGGGAGGCTTCATCCCAAAGATGCAGGATGATTCAACATATGTAAATTAACAATTGTAATCCACCATATAAAGACACTGAAAGACAACAACTATGTGATCATCTCATTAGATGTAGAAAAGGTCTTTAACAAAATCCAATACTGTCCCACACTATCGTCTCGCCAGCAAGAACCATGCGGGACACTAGGATTCTTCTGCAGAAAAGCTTTAATGCTTCTTGAGAGAGAGAGAGAGCATAAGCTTCCAAAGAAGAGACCCAGAAATGAGGGAACCCATCCCTTATATAGGAAACAGTCCTCACTTCAGACGTGTCACTCTTGGATTGGTTCGCTGCCCATTATCCCAGATGATGCCTCGGGAGTAGGCAGGGATGCAGCAGTGGAAAGTTACCAAGCACATGTGTGTTCACCTGGCGGTGAAACCGGATGCCAGCGCCATCTTGTAATGGAGTATGTGGTTGCGGTCCTCCACATCTCCCCTTTTTTACTTCTTTCCAGAAAGGCAACTCCCTCAGAAGGCAAAGATAGAGGTCGCACTTCCCAAAGTGGAAACATTATGATGGGCTTGCACGGAATCTGCCCCTAGGCTCATGACACCTGGAACTTATCCGGCCTGCCCTCTGCCATTTTTCTGGGAAAGGGAATATGCGGCAGGAAATCCTTATGCAGGGCGACATATCTCTCAGAGAGGGCCATTCTCTGTGAGATGCTCTTCAGCCCGACAACCTTCAGGGCTAGCTAAGCCAAGCACTCCACCCTGTGCCATGGACCACTGTCCTAGGGGTGCAGGAGCTGGTTGGCATAAACCTTACTGCTTCAACATAGATAACCACATATCAGTAGAGGCCCCTGTTCCAGGGCAGCCAGCGCTTGTGCAATAACCACTTTGTCCCTACAACTTTGGGATTTGAATCATCAGACCATCCAGAGGAGAAACACTATTCCACAGCATAGGGCTCTTCCAAACATTTCCACCCCCACCCATTCTTTAAAGTAGGAGATGAAGGATACGACCCAGGACTGGAATCCTTCGGCTAAGCTTATAAATCATCTCTAGGAAGGTAGGGGAGCCCCAGAGTCTTATTGGTTGTAAAAAACTGAGGAAGCACCGCCACTCTATGGCTGACTGGTGTCGGCTTCGGGAAGGCTGAGAGTATCCCCCATCACTGCTCCATCATAACCGTTGTCATCCATCTGCAAAATGGCAGGAGGAACAGAAGCCAAATCTTCAGGCGAGTATGCATGTTGTGGGTCACTTTTCACCGTTCAGGTCAGTCTCTCTGGCACCCAGAATGGGTTTTCTTGATCCTGTGGGAACACATAAACAGCTCCCCTGGATCTCAGTAGAATGGGATCCGGGCCTTTCCATTCATTAGAAAACACATCTTTCCATTTAACCAAATCCTTGGGCCGCTGCGGATCTGAACAATGTTGTGTTGCAGCATTTTGGCCATTATCATCCAAATTTAAAAAATTTATAGTGAACAGGGCCATGGCAATGGCCACTCTTGGCGTTGGGGGCAACTCCTTCATTATTTCCCCTTTTTTTTGTTTTTAACAAGAACTGGTATCGGTATAGGCCATGCCCTTGTCATTGTTTAGAGGGTCATCCTTGCTACTTTCTCATCAAGTTTTCCAGTCCAATTACCTAGAAGATAACTAGACAATTGCTTAATAATCAGTCACTGTATCTGGGATCGCAGGGGTGCAATTCTCCAGCTGCATCAAGAAGTCTACCAGAGGCGTGTTGGAAACTATGGGCTTTTTTCCCCCTAGGCCGCACTCGGCAGGCTTAAACCCCGTTAAACAATCCCCCTTTAGGGAAGCCGCGCCGGGTCCGCATTGCTCCGCCAGTTTCCGGCTTGCACCGCTATGGAGCCCGTTCCCGTAGTGGCGGCTCCACCCCGGGTTTTACTGCTTTCCCAGCGGGGCTGGCCTTGCTCTCAGATTTAGCCAATGACCCTATCACCTTAAAAATCCAAGGGCTTTTCGCATCTACCTCCCTGCGGATCCTGAAACATTAGATAAACCAAGTGTATATACAGCAATCTTTCAGGAGGACATGAGTTCTTAAAATGTTAGCAGTTTTTAAAAACTTAAGTACTGCCTGTTTACTGTCACTAAACCTTGATTGCACTTTTATTATGATAATTATGACCAGTCCTGCCTGAAGTCAGCACAGTTTAGCATAGCCAAGTGGAACCAGAGCCATTTTAGCCTCAGAGCCCCTCACAGCTCCAGGCACACTGCATTGCTGTGGCATCTGCCAGGCTAGGCACAGACTGGGCTGGGGCAATGTGCCTTTTACCACAGCCACTTAGCAAAGCTCTGCTCCAGCTGCCTTCTAGCCATAGCTGCATTCATTTTAGGTCCATACTGGTGCACGGAGTAAAGAAGAACTCAGAGAAGCAGGCTTACTGCTCTGCAACCATTGAAAAGACCCCATTTCAACAATCTTTCAGGGAATTTGGGCGTTGTTAGTCTCTCTGGCTACTTCCTGCTGAATTGGGACGTTGCATTTTAGGGGTATACACTACAACATTTCAGGAGGTCTCGGTGATTCAAACCACATAAATCTCAAGTACACCCTTAGACTCTCATTTTCTGTGGAGACGAAAACAGAACCTCTTTTCCAAAACATCATATCCTTAGGCCCATATTTTAAATTCAAAATACCTTTTTTAGCAGTTTCTAAATTCAAATATCTTTCTCCTGTCCAGTACACAAAAGACAACACAAACAACATAACACACATCTGTCCTTTTTTCTTATTGTTGGTATCAGAAAGCTTTTGACCTTGTAGGTCAGTCTTCTCCCCCATTCTTATTTTCTTAGAACCACCGGGGGGTCCTTTTTCCTTATCTGGGACTGTCCTTTTCTTGCGCGCGCCCAACCTCTCACTGCACTCAGTTTCTGATATGCTATCCTGGACTTCCTCCGCTTTTGCAACAACCGCCTAGCAGGATTCATCTTCTAAGCACTTTCAAAGTGATAAGAGACTTGTTAAGAAGTACCAAGGCCTCTACGAAACCTTTCCAAGGCAGGGACAAGTCAAGCCCAAAATCGAAAAGTCCAGGAATAGTCATACCTCTTTGAGCAAACAGACCTGCAGTTCTGAATCCTCCTTGTGTCCAAGGGGTCTCTGGTGGTGCGAGCAGTGGTCAGAGTTTCTCGGCATCCCGGGCTTCAGTACCAAATGTCTCACGCTACCGTCTCGCCAGCAAGAACCACACGGGACACTAGGATTCTTCTGCAGAAAAGCTTTAATGCTTCTTGAGAGAGAGAGAGCATAAGCTTCCAAAGTAGAGACCCAGAAATGAGGGAACCCATCCCTTATATAGGAAATAGTCCTCGCTTCAGACGTGTCACTCTTGGATTGGTTCGCTGCCCATTATCCCAGATGATGCCTCGGGAGTAGGCAGGGATGCAGCAGTGGAAAGTTACCAAGCACATGTGCGTTCACTTGGCGGTGAAACCGGATGCCAGCACCATCTTGTAATGGAGTATGTGGTTGCGGTCCTCCACACAATACCCTTTCATGATAAAAGTCCTGAAGAGAGTAGAAATACAGAGGACATACCTCAATATAATAAAGGTAGTTCATAGAAAGCCTACTTAAATGGAGAAAAGTTCAAAGCAATTTCACTAAAATCAGAAACAAGTCAAGGTTATTCATTTCTCCATATCTATTCAATATATCACTTGAAGTCTTAGCTAGAGCAATAAGAAAAGTGAAAGAGATTAATGGTATGCAATTTAGATAGGAGGAAGTCAAAGTATCTTTATTTGCAGAAGATATGATAGTGTATACATAAGTGACCCAAAGAATTCCATGAGAAAACTCTTACACTTTCAGCATGATAAACACTTTCAGCATGGTAGTTGGATACAAAATTAAGTCACAAAAAGCCTGAGCCATATACAAATGACAAACAGTCTGAGGAAGAAGTCAGGGAAAAAACATCTTCCACAGGGGGCTAGAGAGATGGCTCAGAGGTTAAGAGCACTGATTGTTTGTTCTTCCAGAGGTACTGAGTTCAATTCCCAGCAACCACATGGTGGCTCACAACCATCTGTAATGAAATCTGGTGCCCTCTTTTGGCCTGTAGGCATACATACAGACAGAATACTGTAAACTAAATAATAATCTTCCATAATAGCCTCAAATAATAGAAAATATATTGGCTTATATCTAACTAAGAGAGAGACTTGTATGATGAAAACTTAAGTCATTGAAGAGAGAAATTGAAGGAGTTGTCAGAGAATGAAAATATCGTTCATGCTCATGGATTGGTAGGATTAACATAATAAAAATGACCATTCTATCAAAAGTGCTATAGAGGGGCTGGAGAGATGGTTCAGTGGTTAAGAGCACTGGCTGCTCTTCCAAAGGTCCTAAGTTCAATTCCCAGGAACCATATGGTGGCTCACAATCATCTGTAATAAGATCTGGTGCCTTCCTCTGGCATGCAGGCATATATGGAGGCAGAATGTTGTATACATAATAAATAAATAAATCTTTTTTTAAAAAAGTGCTATAGACAACACCTACACAATGCATTGAACAATGGAGATGTGGAGCTGATTCCTACATAGAGCCTTCACCTCGGTGTTCTAGTGTCTTGGTACAGGAAGGTACTATGCATGCTATCAAAAGAGAAACAAACACCAAGCCACTCTTTTCCTCCTCTGCAGTCATCACGAATGACACAGTAACGATCCAGACCATGATCAATTGTCTGCTTCAAAGAAAACAGATGGTTATTGATGTCCTTCACCCTGGGAAGGCAACAGGACCAAAGACAGAAATTCGGGAGAAGTTAGCCAAAATGTACAAAACCACACCAGATGTTATCTTTGTATTTGGATTCAGAACTCATTTTGGTGGTGGGAAAACAACTGGTTTTGGCATGATCTATGATTCTCTAGATTATGCAAAGAAGAATGAGTCCAAACACAGACTTGCAAGACATGGCCTTTATGAAAAGAAAAAGACCTCCCGAATACAGTGAAAGGAATGCAAGAATAGAATGAAGGTCAGGGGGATTGCAAAGGCCAATGTTGGTGCTGGCAAAAAACCAAAGTGACTTGATCCGATGTGATATGCAGACAATTTCCCAGAGGACAAATAAACTGAAAGCTTAAAACAAAACAAACAAACAAACAAAAAAACCCCACCAAGTCAGTCACAAAACCTTTATCTGCAATGGTGTACTATCTGCAAGATAGGCTAGGGCAATAGTGGCACAAAGCTCATGGGAGTAACCAACCAAAAACTGGCTTGACTTAAGACTCACTCCACAAGATGAAACTTACACCTGACACTGGGTGACCAAGAACCGGAGACAGCCCAGAACCCTAGGGTAAAACCAAAGAGTACTGGTCTAAAAAAAGAAAAAATGTAGTGATAAAATGACTCCTAATGATATTCTGCTAGACTCATAGATTAGTGCCTTATTCAGTCAGCATCAGATATGGTGCAGCAGATAGGAAACAGAGACCCACAGCCAGACATTACACAGGAAGTTAGAGACCGTGAAACACTCAACCTCAAATGGGGAGTGTCCATCAAACCCCTCCCCTTCAGAGTTCAGAGAACTCCCAAGGAAGAGGAGGTGGAGAGAATGTAAGAGCCAGAGGGATGGAGGACACCAAGCAAACAAGGCCCTCTAAATCAACTAAGCAAAGCTCATGTGAACTCAGACTGAAGCTGCAAGCACAGAGCCTGCATAGGTATATATTATGTACATTATGTATTATGAAAAGATTTTATGGCTTACATTTAGTGTTTTTATGGGATTCCTGAGCATGCAAACAAGCAAGTCTCTGATTCTTGTGTTTTCTCTTGGTTCTTTTCCTTTCTTGGTTTGTATTGTCCAACTTTGATGATAGTTTTTGTTAATTTAAAAATGAATGAATGGATGAAAAACCTAGCCAAAGGGTAGCTGAATTTTCATTTATGTCTGCTGGAAGAGGTAAAATCATTGTCTTCAGTGGAGTGACACTTGGTGTATCAGCCACTCCAGGGCAGGCCACATGTTCAGCAGTAGTTAACCAACACATAATGAACTTCATAGTTTTTTGTGTGTGCCTTTATTCGGTTACAGTTTGTTATTTTTATCTGTTTGGGTGTTATTTTGTTTTCTTGGTTGGGGGGATTGATGCTGTTTTTGTTTTTTTTATTGTTTTCTGAGAAAGAACTTAAGTTGGGTGGGTGGGCAGGGAGAGTATCTGGAAGGACTTGGGGGAGGGTAAGAATATGATCAAAATATATTTAAATTTAAAAGTTGTTTTAAATTAAAGAAAAAATGGAAGAAATTGTCTTTCTCATGGACAATCACACCAATTAAGCTATCCTGTACAGAATTATCAGCCCTGGAAAGGACAGATAAAATTATACAGATTGAGCAGGTTTTAATTAGGAATATATATGTATATGTATGCACATATATGCATATAACACTTAATAAAAAAGCCATAAATTTGAGATGGAGCAAGGAGGGGTATATGGGATGACTTGGAAGTGGAAAAGGGAGAAAGGATGTAATTATATTAATCTCAAAAAAAAAAAGTAAACTGGAAAGATGGCTCAGAGGTTAAGAGCACTGACTGCTTTTCCAGAAGTCCTGAGCTCAATTCTAGGCAACCACATTGAGGCTCACAACCATCTATAATGAGATCTGGTGCCTCTTCTGGCATGAATGCAGAATCCTGTATACATAATAAATAAATCTTAAAACAATAAAGTAATAAAGAGAATCTTCCTATTTCAAATGATTTAATCCCTCACGGCCTTTTGGTTTTTAGTTAATCCCAGATGTAGTCAGGTTGACAACCGAGAATAGCCATCACGGTGGGCAGTGGTGGTGCACACCTTTACCCCAGCACTCTACCTACCTCTAGTGGCAGAGGCAGGCGGATCTCTAAGTTTGAGACCAACCTGGTCTAAAGAATGAGTTCCAGGGGCAGCTAGAGCTACATGGAGAAATCCTGTCTCAAAAGAATAGCCACCACAATGTGTTAGTTTAGCAAGGTCAGTGATTAGTGAATAGGGGAATAAGTCTGCCATGGGCCCGAAGAGTCTCTGTACTGCTAGCCAATAGTGCATGGCCCTGAGAGGTCTTGGTATTGAGTACACAGACAATTAAGTAGGCCAACTTAACTACAGTAACTATAGTAAAATTTTGTTCCTCTGTAGAGGTCAGAGGTCAGCTTTATTTAATATTCCTAACACCCAGCATGCCCAGACCTTGGATTAGAGCCCCAGAAATTCAATGACTTGAATGAATGAATGAATGAATCAATCAATAATGTTCACAAAGAATGTTGAGCCTTTGGCCCTGGTTGCATCAGCCCTGGCAAATCTGTTGTGCCATTATCTGGGGACATATACTGTATCATGCTCACTGACTTGAGGGCAGGACATCAGGCTGTTATTCTGAGTCTGTGTCCACTTTTGGCACCTACGGAGTTGTGGCATCCTCTGACATGGATCAGCATCATTTTTCTTAAAGAGCCAGGAGATATGAAGGCTATGTACTATATAAGCTCTTTTGACAGTGGGTCAACGTTTCACCGGAGCATGAAAGAGCTGTATGTGTGCACCGAAATGTGTGCACAGGGAATTTAAGACCCTTTATCTACAAACAAATAAGCAACTGGCCCACTTTCCTTTCATCTAAGGCCCAGAGCAGGAGTGCAGAAAGGCAGTGTAGATGGGGTACAGAACCAGAGTTCCTTTCCATTGCTTCAGCTTGCTCTGGCCCTTGCTAGAGGGTCCCTAAAAGTTCCAGCTAAGATCAGCCAGAGCATTGTGGCACCCACCTATAACCCCAGTACTGGGCGGGAAGCAAAGGCAGGAGAGGCCTGTCTGGCTTACCTGACTAATCAAACTAAACCAAACCAGAACAAAACAATGTACCAGTGGAAGGCAAAAACAGAGGTGAAGCCTGGAGAGCCGAGGATGAGGTGAGGAGCAGTGGAGGGAGGCTTTCGCAGTAAATTTCTCTCCCCAGGTTAGGAGTTCCTTTCCCTTGAGGTCTCATTGAGAAGTAACAAGTACTGTCTTTACCCACACTCCTACTAGCTAGGGGTGTAACACTTTCATTACAAGTTACTCCCCCCTAGTCATTTCTTGCCATATCTTATGGCCAGCCGGCTGAGTCAACCTGAGTTCTTTCAGAAACCTTATTCCTCCACTCCCCTGCCGGCAGCAACATGCTTTTGCCGCTTCAAAGTGCAACCAGGGCTCATAGCACAGCTTGTTGGAAACGCTTCCCACCTGGGAGTCTGCTGTCTCCCCTCAACATCCTTGCACTTTTTGGGTCGCAGGAGAATCACCACTGTTTTTATTTGTACTCCTAGAAGAGAACTCCCTACTTCGGACGGTTTTGGTGTCTCCAGCAGTATCTTGTTACATCCAGGCAAGGCTAGTGCATTCACAGTGGCGTACGGTTTTGTTTTCCACAAGGCAGTGGGAAAGAAGAATGGTGGGCCCAAGGCCGATCCTCCAACCACACTGCTACACCGGGCCACTCAGCCCAACGCCAGGGCGCTGGAGTTATAGAGTGCGAGAGCAGATCGGGTCTCCCGGACTCTCAAGCTTCGTACAAACCCATCGGCCTCCCATAGACCAGAGAAGGCGGTTGGCGGCGAGCGCGCGCGCGCGCGCGCGCACACCCGGTGGAATGATCATAGAGTGGCTCGGACAGGCAGAGCGGCCAGGAGCTGCCCCGCTTCCGGTAGCGCCACATTACTCCGGGAGCTGCCGCGTACGCAGTTTCCATGGGGACTGAACATGGCGCCGCGAGGTGAGACTCCGGAGGTGTGTGTCTCTGCCCACTGTCCCATTGGTACCTGCCAGTCCCTCCATCTCTCTGCTCTCCAGAGCTTGACTTAGTCCCCCATTCTTAAAAGTTGAGGGTCTCACTCTTCATTTGTCCGAGTCAGGCTTGCGTTGCTCTGACCACCCCGAGTGCCCGCATGTGAGAACTCGGATACTATACCCTTAACAATCCCGGGCTGGCCCTTTTCTGGGATGACTCAGTGACGAATCCTCTAACCTTGGACAGATCCGCTGCCGGCCTCTGCGCCCCAGTTTCACCGTCAGCAGTGACAGGGTTGGATCTTTGAGGTGCCTCTCAGTTGTGATGATAGCTGAATTGGTAAAAGTCGCCTGCAAGTAATTGATGGGAAAGGAGGTCAAAGACCAGCCCCTTCACATCAACACTCCCACTTCATTAACAATCAGAAGTTTCTCCCTCCTTCACCATGACCTTGTGTTTTCTTTGGATTACAGAACCATACAGGGGATAGAGCTCCAGCTGTCCTTCTGCCCATCTTTGTGTTGCTTTTTTTTTTTTTTTCAGATAAAAGGTTGTCCTCAACCCCTCTGGAAGTCCTATTCTTTCTAAATGGGTGGTACTATGCCACCTATTTCCTGCTGGAGCTACTCATTTTCCTGTATAAAGGTAAGGCTGGGCTTGACTGCCTCTGCCCCAACAGCTCTTTCCTCTTTAGCCCAGCGCCAACTCCCACCAAGAACTGTTCATTCTTTTCTGACCCCTACAGCATGTCTCTTCACTGCAAGGCAGAAGCTTCTTCAGCTGATGGCTTTAGAATGATTCAGTAGGAAATCTCTCGCAGCAAGAGTATCATGAGTTTGGGAAATGTGGGCTTCTCCATCCTGACTCTTCCCCATCTGTCTCTGCTGAAATATTCAGATCTGTGTACCATTATAATTCATTCATTCGACAGAGTGGAACCCCCACAGACTTAGTAAAAAAGCCTGCAGCTATGACGGTCCACACTTCTCTAATTGGTTCATGGGAAGCTAAGACTAGTGTCCTTGTTCCTGGGTGTGCGGCAGTCCTTGTGGGGACGGTTAGGTCACGGTATTGCAGACTCTGGCTTTTCCACCGGCAGGTCTCTTGCTGCCATACCCAACAGCCAACCTAGTCCTGGATGTGGTGATGCTGCTCCTTTATCTTGGCATTGAAGTAATACGACTGTT